ATTCCTGTGAAGGGCGCCTTGAGCAGACGCCGTGACGATCCAATCCTTGAAATCCTGCAAAGACTCCTGCATGGCCTTCCTGGAGGCTTTCTTGGGAGCCTCCTGGACGCCCTGCGCGAAGTGTTCGAGCGGGCACCTGGGATGCTCGAAATCGCCTCTGAGGAACTCCACCCAGGTGTCCCACTCCAGAGCCTCGGCTGGCAGCGGCCTGACGCCAGAACGCCCGTGCCTGTGCCTCTGAACTCCCGACGTAACCTGCAGCGCGCGAGTCCACCAGTCCGATGCTCTGTCACGCAGTGGAGCGTCCCTGAAAGTCATCGTCTGCTGCGCTGTGCCTGTCTCAAGCTTAGGGTCGGTGGTCCGAGGAGTCGAAGGTAGAGGAAGCCCATGATGGGCAGAGATGGTTTGTTCGACGCAGGACACCCGCTGAGCGTGCTGTGCTGAGATCTGCTGAATGAAGGGGCCACCGACATGGTAAGCGACCGATTCTCTGATCGGCTTCCAATTGATGTACCCCATACCTATACGACCACCCTGCGGGTGATAAGGAGGTTTGGGGGGGGGCCAGCAATGGGCAAGGAGGAGGAGGAGGGAAAGGAAAGGTCCAGAACCGAGGGGTGCGTGGTGGAGGAGAACCTGAGAGAAGACCTCATTCGCTGTCTCATTCGGTTTCACTACCGATCCCACAATCGATATCACTATCGACGTCGTCATCATCATCATCATCATCATCATCATCATCATCATCATCATCATCATCGACAATACCATTAACATCATCATCATCATCATCATCATCATCATCATCAACGTCGTCAGCATCATCATCATCACAATCATCATCACCATCATGGCCATCATCACCATCAGCATCGCACAATCGATCTCACATTTGGTCTCACTATCGATATCACAATCGATCTCACAATCGACGTCATCGTCATCATCATCATCATGATCATCATCATCATCCTCAACGACACCAACATCATCATCATCATCATCATTATCATCATCATCATCATCATCATCATCATCATCATCATCATCATCATCATCGCCATCATCAACATCATCATCATCATCATCATTGCCATCACCATCACCACCATCATCATCATCATCATCATCAGCATCATCATCATCATAATCATCCACGTCATCATCGGGACACCGACGGGACACCGAAGGGACACCAGCGGGACACCGGCGGGACACCGCGCGGCACTGGCCGCCCGGTCAAAGTTCTTTTGCCCCGGCCGCGCCTCAGCCACACGGGACACCAGCGGGACACCAGCGGGACACCGGCGGGGCACCGGCCGCCCGGTCAAGGTTCTTTTGCTCCGGCCGCGCCTCAGCCACAGGAGACTTTCTCTCGCCCGCCCACGCAGCTTCGCCTCGCCCGCACGGCACGCACGAAAACGAAACCGAAATCGATTTCCCGGTAGGGGGGCTCTCCGTTCCACTTCGATCTCACCCCCCAACCTCCGATTGCTTTTGGAAGATATGATGCTGCAGCAGCTTTGAGCCGAAAGCCAAAGGTGGGAAGGGATGTGGAAAGCTGGCGGCGGGGAGACCTCCTTGGGAGAGGCCTCGGACTTATGTCCACCAGGCTCGTTCACGGCATAATTGGGATCATTGCTGCTGCTGCTGGGGGGCTCTGAAATGGGCTTGAAGACTCCTGAGCTAGACCTAGACTCTGGGGAGGCGGGGTGCGAAGCCCCTGAAGCTTGAGACCCCTGGGCGTCGCCATCTTGAGGGCGATCCGTGGCCTGCGCGGCCCCAGGGTGAAAACAAGTTTCGGCGGCCCAAGGGTCCTCGTCCTCGAAGGGATCAGGCTCACAAGCGGCCTCCAGCATGGGGTCGGGAATATCGTGCGTTTCACGAGAAACATCCCCCTGCTCTTCGGCAGCGATGGGGCTTTCAAGCAAATCCCCGGAAAGCTCATTGGTTTGGTCTCCGGCTTTTCCCTCGGCTAGTGCGACACAGGACGCTTGCTCAAGGCGAGCAGCTCTGGACTTCGATCCGACTGGGGAGCGAGCCAGGCCTGACCGACTGGGGCAACTTGGGAGCCGACACGAGGGTTCTCGTTTCAAGCTGGTTGCAAGAATGTCTGAGGCGAACAATGAGCGCACATTGAGGTGACCACGGCACGTCATGCTCCGCCGAGACATCGACTACGAAACTGCTGCGCCCAGGGCCTGCTATGACATAACCAATCAAACTCTGACCAGTGCTCGTGCTACACGTGTAGGCGTCGGGTGCATGATGTAATTGCCCGTGCACGCGCTGCAAGAATCGAGGCGATCTAAGCTTATCGGGAGTGATGTTGAAATCCCCGACGCATAGCCAGGGCAAACGGAGCGAGCGCAAGAATGCGCCTAACCTGGTCAGGCGAGCTGCATTGCACCCTCCAGCTCCGACAGAGGGGTGAAGATAATAGAGAACGAGCACAATGGAATACCCTTGGAGGTGGATGGTGGTCGGGAGGAAGCCGTCGAAACTGTCGCGGCCGTCTGCGCACAAGTCTGAGACGCACTCAGCTTCGACTGGAAACTTGTGAACCTGAAGATGCTGACGAGCCAGCAGCGGTTCGCCACCTTCGTTGGCTCTGATGCGGCTAATCTCACTGGATCCGCGGCCAGTGTCGCGTGCGAGATTGAGAAATGCCTTCGGCCTCTGAGATCGAAACTTGCCATTCCGCTTCTGCCTCAGTGACTCCCCGATGTTAGTCTCGACGAAACCCACGAGGTCGTGCGAGTGGCTGGCCTGCTGCGCGAGGATGTGCGACCATGCCTTCTTGCCCAGCGTCGTGGCGCTGGCAAAATACAGCACGGTGCAACCCTCGCCCCCGCGAGCAGGTGTAGAAGCTGAAGACGAAGACGTCGGAGCTGTGGAAACTGTAGGCGCCGAGGTCGCTGGGCCCAGGATTGGAGGTGAGGAAGGGCGGAGCATACGTCCCTTCGGTGCCGACTGACGAGGTCGGCTGCATCGCGGCGGCGGGGCAGGGGCCGCGAAGCCTGCCGCTGCTGGAGCTCGTCGCGCTCCGACGCCATCGCCACTTGCCATGGCGGCCTTGGCCGCTTGCTCGGCGGCCTTCTTGGCCCCCTCGGCCTGGAAGCGCGCCTTGCGCAGGGCGGCCGCCTTCTCTTCTCCTGCACCATGGTCTGGGTCGGCTGCTGCTCCGAGAGCGGCTCGGCTGTGCCGCCGCCGCTCGCGCTGCCAGGCGCGCCTGCGGCAGGGGCTTCAGCCGCTGCTCCCCCCTCGGTGCGCGGCTGCTGCTCCTCCTTCTTGCGCTTCTTGGTCGTCCTCTCCTCGACGTCCTTCTGCGTCGCCTGCGTGCGCGCGAGCCAGGCCTGCACCTGCTCGGAGTGCTCAGACGCCTGCTTGAGCGGAGCCTCGAGCTCCTTGAGCTCGCGCCTCCCATTCTCCTCGATCTCCATGGAATCGAGCGACTCGAAGAACGTGGCGTCCCATTTGACTTCGAACATGTCCTTCTTGTCCTGCTGCACTCCGTCAACGCTGAGCCCTGAAGCCTGCGCCAAGGCTTTCACCGCGATCTGTCTCGTGATGGTGGCCTGCGCGAGGGTCTCCGAGGCCTCGCGCTCCTTGGCCTCCGCCTTGGCGAGGTTCTCTCGACGACGAATGACGTGCTGGACAGCCTGCGAGTGCTTGGCGTCCGCGTCGCGCCAGGCCCCCTCTGCTCTCCGAGCTGCCTCAGAGGGAGGTACGGGGGCTGGCGACGCGGCCGCCTCGAACTTGGCCGTCAGGATGGCCTTTTGGGCTTGCAGCACCTGTTTGATGGTCGGGTCGCTGGTGGCCGCGATCGTCTGGTCGAGCAGCGCGACGGCGTCGATCTCGTCGGACGACTTGCCGCCCTTGCTGCTCTTCCCCTTCTTCCCTGGCGCCAACAAAGTGTCCTCATCCTTCTGAGTTGGCCTTGTAGAGGGCCACGGGACGTCCGCAACGTCAGCACTTCCCGTTCTCATTCAACAAAACATCGTTCCACTGATGAGTGTGGCAACCCTTGCAAGTGGACCACACTCGTGAACCTGAGCCAGCCATGTCGGTAAAATTCGACGGATGCCTCGCTTTCGTCAGCCCGAACGCCTGCGCTCTCTCGTCGCGGGTGGCGAGCTGTCCCCCAAGCACCACGTGGCGGCGCGAGGCTTGGACGAGTGGGTGCGCGCAAAATGCGTCAGGGAAGGTGCGAAAAAAAAACCCTCCTGTTCCCGCTCGAGCCAGAATGCTTAGGAGAGGAAGAGGAGGGAGAGGGAGAGGGAGAGGGAGAGGGAGAGGGAGAGGGAGAGGGATGCAGGGCAGGGAAGCAGGGAAGGGGAGGGGGAACGGGGCGAGGGAGGGGAGGAGGGAGGGAGGGAGGGAGGGAGGAGGGGAGGGAGGGAGGGAGGGAGGGAGGGAGGGAGGGAGGGAGGGAGGGAGGGAGGAGGGAGGGAGGGAGGGAGGGAGGGGGAGGAGGGAGGAGGGAGGGAGGGAGGGAGGGGAGGGAGGGAGGGAGGGAGGAGGAGGGAGGAGGAGGAGGAGGAGAGGAGGAGGAGGAGGAGGAGGAGGAGGAGGAGGATGGAGGAGGAGGAGGAGGAGGAGGAGAGGGGAGGGGGGAGGAGGGAGGAGGGAGGAGGGAGGAGGGAGGAGGGAGGAAGGAGGAGGACATGCCCGACCTAAATCCAGGCCAACTTCTCGGCGGATCGACCCGTGACCACCCACATGGCCCTGGAGTTGCTGGCCTGGCCCGCCGGGGAGGCCGCGCCGCGCTCGCCGGGGAGGAGGCTGCTCACTGGCGAGCACGTGCTCGCCTTCGGCTTCGTGCCGCCCTCCACCTCCAGGGAAACGAAGAATGACATGAGCAGAACAAAAACTCGGAGGTCCGCGCGGATTTCTTGGATCGGCGCTGGACCCCCGTGGCGGCGCCTCCGGCGCCGTCCCTGGCGCGCTCCGACGGTCCAGCGCGGATCCAAGAAGTCCGCGTGGACCTCCAAGTTTTT